AGAAGAATGCATGGAATAAAAAAAGACTGCATTGATTCTGATTTTGTGTTATGTGAACATGTTTAAGATTATATTTGCTCTACATCAGCATGTTGCAGCATTGTCTTTGTGATATTAGAAGATAATGTTAATCAGGTATATCATATGGAATTATAAAATTATATAATTTTAATTATTAATTGTAAACTTTTTACTGATAACATTAAAGTTGAGATACTGTATTTGGATTCTTTATCCAAGTATAACCGAACTGATTTGTTATCAAATGGAGTCTCAGCTTACAAGATGAGAAGAAATGTATGTCTTTGTGACTCTAATGCGCCATTATTATTTCCTGCTTAGATTTTCCACTCAGTTCATGGATGCCAGACTGTGAGATAGACGTGGAGCGGTGTGACTGTCTACCTAGACCTGCACCGACTCTCCAGCCAAGACCAATCCATCGCTGTCAACTCAACTCTTCTATCTGTGCCCATAAGCATCAACGTTTCGATCAAGCTTCCTGCAGGTGGGTCAGGGAAAGGCTTTAACATAATAATCAGTTTGTTTATCATGGACTTTCTTTAAATGCTGCAGTTTTTACTCATATGAGATATTAGAAACATAAAATACATACTTAGACATGCCCTTGTCATTAGCAACAAGTAAAATAGAAATGTTGAGTGGAAAATGGTACAACAAAATTATTAGACAGGTGCTGGGGAAATAGGAAAGGTGAGAGGATTAAAATAATAGTTGAAGCAGTATTTCTCAGCAGCTACTCAGACATGCAGGATGAACTGAAGAAACGAGGTGATCAGTTTTTTAAACTCCTGCAGATTTCATTTTCATCCAGGGTGAAGGCTAGCAGAGCGGTTCGGAGCTCTAATGTGTCTCAATTCATGCATATTTTATTCCCTTAAATGAGCCCTCTTTTCTTCACAGATGCAAATGGCCCAAGTAGAAGTCCACTGGGGGAATAAATTACGACAACCTGCTCGCCAAGGATGTTTGGAGGCAGAGAAAAAAGGCTCATAATTTATTTACAGTCCTATTTATGCTGATCACTTTAACTAATTAAGATGATATTAACTCCTTTGACCATGTTAACTGATTTTTTAACATGCTTACCTTATGTTCCAATCAATGTGTAAAGTTTATAATTTGTACATTTGTTCTGTTGTGCACTGAACATGTAGTATATATTAAAAGAATATTTTTATAATTTTAACTTGCTTTCAGTTTATGGATTACTGCTTAACTTGTGATGGACATTTCACTCTTGTTATTCAAAGTAATCACATGTATGTTGAGTTTACCTTTAAAGGTTTAAACACAATTTTTGATATTAAAAAAGTGAACCTTGTTTCATACTTCATGGGCAACAAGGCCTGCTGAATCCTGTCATGAAAAATTAAGTTGTAAAGTGAACAAAACCCGGTAACTTAAGTGTTGTTACTTGAGATGGTAAGGGTATTGTAACCTGATAATCTTGTCTCTTGGGTTTCATTTTTATACAACGTCTATACAAATATTCACCATCCTCTGTAGTTTTCATGTTTTATTGTTTTACACCACAACAATCAAAGAGGAAGTAAAAATTAATTTCTACAAAGTGATTTAAATTCATTACAAATGTAAAACACAAAACACTTCTTTTCAAGGATGAATCCCTTTTTAATTGGACACAGTATCACCACTAGGACACACTTAGTGATCACTGGTGCAGCCAATTTGTTTTAGAAGTCCCATAATTAGTCAAGGGGTTTCAAGAGATTATAGTATAAATTAATAAATAATAATATATAATAAATAAATAGTATATATATATATATATATATACCCCTCTGGAGGGCTTGTGGGGTACAGGGTTAAATAATGGCATCAAAATAAAGGGAATTCTGGAGGATGTGACATGGGAGAAGGTTTGCTTTCTAAGACAATGAGCAGAAGATAAAGCTACACAAGAGTGCTTTAAAAACAACAACATCAGTGTCCTTGAGTGGCTGCTGAGTCAGAGTCCAGGTCTCAATCCTTTTGAGAATATGAAAAAAGGCTGCTCACTCATGATCCTCATGCAACCTGACAGAGCTCGAGCAGTTTTGCAAAGTAGAATGAATTCAGGCCACCTCTCCTCCCCCATTTCCTGTCTATCTTCAGCTGTGCTATCATATAAAAACAAAAAGCCCCCCCACACCCCTAAAACGTAGCACTGAGGGGGTGATAATTGTTGCAAACAAGTATTTTGTATTTTGTATTTTTTTGCCATTTATTCAGATCACTTTTTAGAGTTACTTTTACTCTTTGACATTAAATCATTTAATTCCTGTTTATCAGCCACATTAAAACCAATTTTGTTCAATGTCTTAAGACAATAAAACATTTATTTTTAAGGACACTGTACAAGCAGCTGTTTTGCTGACATGAGATCTGTCACATTGGTATGTCTTCAGTATCTGAGATTTGTTTTGTTAGCCATATGGTGGCAGAGAAGACGGAAATCTATGTCTCCATATGTTTGATAAGTTTTGAGTATTTGAGCTTCCAGGCAAAACTCCATAATGTTTGAAGACCTGCAGAAGGGACAACACAGCTTTTCTGAAGACAGAGTGGACTGTAAATACAGCTTCTTATGAAAAAAGGTGCATTATTTGTAAATGAGCTTCATTTATTGTTGTTGCCTGGTGAATGTATTGATTTCCAGTCCATTTTTTCCCCCAGGCAGTTCTGCAAATCAATAAAATGCAAACAAGGTGTACAGTATATATCCTCCCTCCTTCTGTTGGCATCAGAATCAATTTCACACCCATCATAAAATGGCAAGGTGCCATTATGTTTTAACGTCATCATGTCTCAGAGCTCCAGTGGATACATTAATAAAGGTGTTTGTGACTGAATAAGCTCTTCTCTGGGAGCTTGCTCCAATAGCGACATTACCAACCCACCCTGACAACAGGTAGAACCGCTCTCACCTTTAAGTCATCACATAGGACTAAAAGCTGATCCTGTCATAGTGGTAATGGAATAAAAATGGATTTTGCATTATATTTCAAACAAAAATTGTATTAATTATTTGAACACTGCATATTCCAGATTATATGATGATACAAAATACTAAACATGGCTAAAGTTACAAGGAGTTTTGTCTCCCCCTTGCTGCACTGTTTGTGTACTCCTGTTTTCTCACTATTCCTCACTGTTACTCGATTAGTACTCGATTGTCACTGTTAAAAAAAGAAAATGAATAATATCCATCCCTGATTTTATATTTTCTTTAACATTAAAATCCCAATTCAATGCATTAAACTCCTGTTTGTTTGGCTTTTTTTTGATGAAGGAAAAGAGCATAGTCATAGAGTATATATATGAGATAATATAAGACCATGATCTCTATAAATCCAAGTAGAGGTAATTTGAACATACACAATGCAAAACTTTCCACCAGTTGTTCTGCTTTATCACTCTTCTAAGCCCTTCCCAACCCACCCACAGATCATAAGGCGTTGGTTGCCCTACAAAACCCAAGCAGAACCTGTTAGTGGCAATTGAAGAAAACACAAAAGGCCATTTGAGGCCATAGTGAGTCAGTCTCAATCTTCAGGGTCAGGCACCAATGTGGGCGTGTGAGGCCTGGCTACCAATTGGTACTCCAATTCATCCTCAGGTGTTGGATAGGGTTGAGGTCAGTACTTTGTGCAAGTGAGTCAGGTTCTGTTGAAGGTTCTTCAACACCAAACTGTGAAAACTAGGAAATGAAAGGAAACCAAGTGTCCACATACTTTTGTCTATATGGTGTATAAATTACAAGGGACAAAATGGCTGTATCTGATGCTCATGTCACCAGCCCAGAGAAAAGGTCTGTGCTTTTCATGGCACCTTCAGTTCATCTGAAAGACCTGTGTGAGATTTTCACACATTGTCACAAAGACACTAGACATAATTGGGTTTGGCTCCAAGGTGCCTTAATAGCAAAAAATAGCTACATCTTTCATTTTTTGCTGTCAGGAACATGAAATTGCATATTATAGGATATCAAAGTGCACGGATATCTTCTGTAATTTTATCCAAATGCAGCATGTGGGTAAAAAGAAAATGATGCTTTATCATGGAACAGTTTTCTTTAAGGAAGTCAGAAAACACATTAAAGAAACATCAAAACGCCGGAAATAACAAATGACAGACTATAGAAGAAAGCCCATCCTCCTTTCAACCAACAGCAACAAACCTATTACAGACGGCAGATAACAAAACTGGAAAAAGTTGTGGAAATAACAATGTGATGAGGTCACAAATAAAATGAAAACACCACAGCCATTTTCACTTTGTATTATTCGACTCTTTGTCCTTAATAAAACCATTACTATTATGTAATACAAAGCGATAATAGTAAAAAAAAAATCAAAATAGAAAAGTACAAACAAACATAATCCACAGACATAGATTACTTCAACAGTTTTTCTCAGGGTAGTAAGAACCCATTTGAACATCTTCAAATTCAAATTAAATTGAAATGAAGGTTGTTGGGTGGATTTAATGTACGCTGAAGTGAGAAATGGGTCTTTTATGTGTGAGCACTTTGAGTGATTGGAAGACTAGAAAGTCACTATACAAGTACAGTCCATTTACCATTTTACCAAGACATAAAAACGACTAAGATTTCAACTGGAGGTGAATGGGGTGGAGGAGGGTCACAATGATTTCGCACTAAAATGACAGCTGAAAGCAACAGAAAGGAGAATGGATTTAAAGTCTGACAGCAGCAACATGCTTGGCTAGAGGAAATAGTAACTAAGTCTGATTGGTTTAACTGAAAGAGTACACACCCATTGTCAGCTGATTAAGAAGGAGAATGATAGAATTGTGAATGAATGAGGAATAATGAAAAGGTCATCCTGTTTTTACACTGAGCTTCATTTGTAGGGATATTACCCATGGCACGTAGCCAGAGCTTCAAACAAAACAGACACAAGACTCACTTTGTTATTACTGTGTTAAAAGATGAATAGAGGTGCTGTAAAAAAAAGGCCCTGATGTTACCGATTCTAAACTAAAAGTGATACATTTCCCATAAAGCAACTCTGGCATCAACTGTGGAATAAACACGATGACATTTCAGTCCTCTGATGTCCTTTGATAGTTCTGACACTTTGTATTTGGTTGCTTGTGCTCAGTGAACAGGTACAACACAACACTGACCTTTAGAGTTACTGTGTGAGGAGTCCAGGGAAGTGGAAGTGTTTTGGCTTTTAGTTTCTTTCCCCCTGTTGAGACATGTTCGATGAGACTGAAAGATCTAATGGAGAACAAAATTCAGTTCATCTTATTGAACTTCACAGGCAATAAGAGCAAATCCCACCTTCTCATGCGCTACGATAAACTACGATTTACTGTTTTATTGCCTTAACATGTCACTGTTACACATGTTTTTCTATTTCTATTCTATCAATATGTGTATTCCTCCCGTCAGGCAAATAAAAAGAACTTGAAGTTGAATTTTTTAATTTTAATTTGTTTGTTTTTTCCTTACACAGAACATCTTTACACAGTTTTGTGATTCATGGACAGGTATGCAACCTAAACATAAGTGTGATGTGGAAACATTGTTGAAACATTCAGTACACTGAATGGACTTTTTAATGAAGTACGAGGTATATGTATCTGCCTTTTTATAGATTAAAATGAGGTTGAAGGAGTAAGACTTTCTAATTAGGTCATTTATTTTTTGTGCAAAAAAACATAACAAACACAAATTATTATTTATTTATTTTAAGTAGTTTTATATGTCTTAAATATACCTGGAGGGGATCTTAAAAAAAATTTATGAACTTGATTTATTACAAAAATTTTGATTTGCTGGTGTAAGACATGGCCTTGCAGAACTATTAAAGAAAATCCCCTGCAGGAAAAAATCCTCCTGAATTTCTGCAGAAAGTCAGGGAATCTTGCAAAAGAAATTGTGCACGATTAATCGTTCAGCATTTATGAAAAATTCCGACTGAATTTCTTTTAAATTCCTATATTATTCCTATAATAGTCTTTAAACAATCCTGCAGGACCTTAACATTCTTCTGCAGAATTCCTGTAACACTTTTTTCAAATGGATTTCAAACACATGACATAGTGGTAATGTGCTTTTATTAGTCTTAATGTGTGTGTCTTTCATTCCTTAAATTAAAAAGATAATAACAAATGCTTATTTACATTCCAGACCTTACACAGAATCAGCCTGACCCTAAAGATGACATGTTAAGTAGATGGTTGAGACCATGCAGGACAGAAATTTGGCAAGGCGCTTACATCACAATTAAACAAACAGAATCCAGACTGAATTATACACCCACTCATCACAACCTGGGCATGATCCTCTCCCTCTGTGAAACACCAAATTAGGACATTGCCGTGTAATATAGTGCCTGTAAATCTAGCATGTGACAGTGCAGAATAATCATGTCCAGTGAACACAGTGGCGCAAGAACTATGTGGTGTATACACAGTCAACAGTACTAAGATTCTTAACATAACCAAAGCACAAAGGTGCACATGAGGCTCCACTTTCACTACGCTATATAATGTAGAAAATGATATAGTGCACCATAATTTGACAGCCATTTTTATTGATTTCATATTATGTGTCTTTCTACTGGAAAGAAAAATTCATGGTGCAATATGTTTAAGCTAAAGACAGACTTAGTGTCTGATTAATTTCCCAGAGAATTTCATGTAAATTGTGTTTACACACACACACAAATATAAAGTCGATTTGTAAGACATACATTTACAATCACGGTTCATTTTTCATACTGTGTACAACACAGCTGCAAAAACATTCTATAACTAGACGACAGCTAACATTTAAAATACATCTCTGAATGTACACTTCAATGTCACAGTTATCACAGCATCTAACATTTAAAAATATTGTACAAATACAGCAACAGGGTGCAGGCAGAATATTATACATCAATATCCATAAGAATATAAACAAATACCACATATTAGAGCGAACCGTAATTTTTTGGCAAAATAATGCAAAAGCATTTGATCCCTTTTATCAATTTAAAAAAGTTATTTATTTCATTGAATGTGGTCCATGACTCCTTGAAGCGCCATTGTTTTGGTACTAAAGAGTGGCCCGCCTTATTCTGCCGTTTCTAAAGATTAATACTGGCTTCTATTAAAAATATGTCCTTTCACCTCTATAATATAACCTCATTAGAGATGATTATTGTTCACAGAAGGTAAATGCTACTCTTTTATGTCTCTCCTATTGCAAATTTGGCACCCTGACAGAGGTGCCAAATTTGTAAGCTTGGATGAAACCCTTAAAGGGACACTCCACAAATTTGGCACATGGTGTTACAGCAGGAAAAATATAATATTGCTGCATGGATTGTAATTAGCAGTAGCAAATGTTAGCATGCTAATATGCTACACTAATGATGTGTCTCAATTCGAATACTTCTGTTAGTACAGTACACAATGCACACTACATACTTACTCGCGTAGTGCTGCAATTTTGACAGCATAGTGTCGTCTCAAATCGAGCACAACTATTGCACATTTGCCAGAAATGACAATCGTAACATTTTACCGCGTCACCTTCTGCTTTTACCTCGAACTGCAACCGGATCAAGCACCAATATCAGCTTATTTTTCACTGGATTTCTTCACGATATTAATAAAAAATGTACCTGCTTCTACTTTTTATTGCCTGTGTTTCCCCTGTTTCTTGGAAGTTGGGAATTACACCGTCTACATGTACTCCACCTGCTGACGGAAACTGTACGTTGCCCCTTCCACTACGTAGTGAAAATGGCAACCACTGAGGGTAAGAAGTGTCCAGCGTTCCACACTCAACGTTTTGACGGTTATGAGTGCACCATCCAGGTACTAGAGACACAGCATAAGAATGTTGGCATACTGAATTTAGCATTTACATCAAGTAAATCAAGCAGCAAGTACATCTTACAAGCATGGATGTAGATTCTTAGTCTTGTTCCACAATATCGGCTAGTTCGGGTGCTCACAGCACTTAGTTAAGGTTAGATTAAGATGTAGTCTTGGTTTAACAGTTAAAAAGTCTTCAGTTGACTTGAATCATGTGACCTGACTGATTATTAACAATAACTATTATTATCTCTGCTGCTTTCATACTTTTCATTCTTTTTATAATACACCTAATTATGTTTCCCTCAAGTCCCTGAACATTGTGGAAGTGCAATTTTTTAACCTCAACTGCATATCTTAATGCAAGTTTCTCATAATCTTTTTAAATGATGCACGCACAATAAAGCAAATGGCTTGTAGGAAATAAAGATATTTTACAAACTACAAATATAACTCAGTGATTAATACACAAGTACATCACCAAAAGAGCAATTGATTGAATGGACATGTATTGTTTTAATTGATATCATACTAAATAGCCTATTGTATTATGTAGGGAACTGAAATAACATGTTTCGAAAGCATGGACATAGACTCTCATGCTTTACAATTTTCTCTCTTTCTTTTTAACAGACACCTTGACCAAGCTGCTTCTGTAAGTTGGCAGTGAGAACATGTTGTCCCTTACACACAATCCTCCTGATAGAGCCTTCTGCCATTGATCATACTTAGACTCGCCATTGAGTGATGTGTGCTGCGGACAGAGGTCACCCGTGTGTTATAATGTGACGGGCTCTGTGAGGAGCGTTTAAAGATCATACGACAGCAGCAACACAGCTGCTGGTTGAACTGCTTCTGGAAGGTCTTGCTCAGCAGGTAAAGGGCAAAGGGGTTGAGACAGGAGTTAGTGAAGGCCAGGATACGAGCTACAACGCTGCACAGAAAGTGAACCAGGGAAGTGTCCACCTGGTGGGGGGAAAGACAGGGAGGAGGGTTGAGGAAAAAATGGTTAATAAGATGGAATGAAATAGACATACTAGAGATCTAAACAAATACATTATTTGGATATGAATGTGCTCCCAAAAGATAAAAACGGAAACATAATTTTAGTAGTTGTGCAATATGTCCCGATGAGCTAATGGCCTGTTTTTCGTCAATAAGTTTGTCTTTATTTTTAACAGACACTAGATTTCTTCCCATTGTCTATACAACCTCCAGTTTTTAAAGAAAAGTCCTGCGACATGGCCCAATTAAATTCTGACTTGTATTTTCCAACTTGACCATTATGTAACACTTTCAGGTACATTAATTCAGGTACATGGTTAAAATATTATGTTACAAATGTTATTTTGTATGTATATTTTTGGGAAGCTAAACTTATAAATATACATATGATAAATACATGGCTGTAGAAAACAATTTAAAACAGTAAATTAAGCTTTTTTTATTTCTAACGGCCCACTTCCAGTATAAATTCCAAAACAAATATGCTATGTGAAATAAACAAATACAGATACAGAAAGTAGTTGTGTGTCACACTAGTCCAGTGTATAAAAAAAAGATCGAAACAAATAAACAGGCATGCTATATTAGAAATATAGAGATGGGCTTTTTGTCTACCTGGTAGTAGTGATAAGAGCGGTATAAGTAGATGATGTGACTAGGAAGCCAGCATACTGCAAAGAGACCAACAAACACCAGCACTGTCTTGGCCAAGCGCTTTCTTGATTCAACCTGTTGATTGTAGAAACAAAATGTCAAATCCAAGGAGCAATGCTATTTTATAATAGACATTATTTTTAATAGAAACACATTCAACAAAGTAAGTGATTAAGGATATATTCAGATCTACTAAAAGTAGCTATACAACAAGGTAAAAATAATATTCATTCAGAATTCTACATATCATCAGCAAAAGTATTCAAAGTATCAGAGGTAATGAAACAGACATTATTTTCATTATTTCAGTATTACTAATGCATTTTGAAGTTGTAACCGGTGGAGGTGAAGCAACTAGTGAGTACTTCATTTGTAAATATTGCAGCTATAAAAGTTGGAAAACTGAATTAACTGAAAAAAATAAAACATTAGAAATTAAAATAACTGAAACATGTCACAGACTATTTTTTTCTGTGGGGTGGGGCACTCGTTGGGGGACTCATGACCTCAGTATAATCGGGTTATGGCCCAGGTAATGACAGTTTTAACACTGACCTGTTGTCTTGCATGTATGTTGCCCTCCACAGGCAGGTTTGAGGCACTCCTCAACAGGCTCCGGGCAATGAAGGTGTAGTACATGGATATGACCAGCAGGGGAATGACGTAGAAAATTAGGAAGGACGCCATGGAGTGAATCTTAGGGTGCAGTTCCCCAGCATGGGGATAAGGGGCGCAGGTGACAAAGGTCTCATTAGTGGAGGTAACGTTGAAAGTGTGGAGGTCAGAGAAGACGGCCTCAGGAATAGCCAGGACCAAGGAGACGAGCCAGATGAGCGCCGCCCGCAGGACAATGCTGGTAGTGGTGCTCGATGTTTGGATATCCAGGGGCTTCACGATGGCCCTATACCTGATAGATAGATAGATAGATACGATACGATAATATGATAGATCGAGATAGATAGATAAGACAGAATAGATAGTTATCTTACTGTAGAAAGCCACAATTGACTCTCACCTCCTCACTCACACAATGCATCGGCGTAAAAAGTGTTGCCCTTTTAGTATTTTAGTTATTTTTAGTCAGTGTGGTATAGTGTTAACAAGCTGAAAATAATATGATTAAGCAGACAGAGTATCATCATTATCATCATATCATTATTATTCATTTCGAGTCATTTCTGGGCACCTATAAATTGTAAATTCAGTATTCGATCTCATTTTTGGTCTCTACTTAGTCCTGGAGGAAATATCTTACTGCTTTAATGCTGGGCAGTGTACAGTGTCTGCCGCAGCCAAAGTTGATGCTGATGAGATTACGTAAAGGCAAACCAATAAGCTGAAAATATTATAGATAATACATTAACAATAAAGCTCTGTATAGCTGTGGGAAACTGCTGACTTGAAGATTATTCTCTGTGAGTCCATCACTGTACGAGAAACCCTTTTACAAACAAGTAGTTGTGATCTATTGCTTATATAAAAATATTGATTATAGCTGCTTTAACAATCTGTCAATTATGAATGTTGACAAGTCAGTTCTTAAAACAATCAATTTTGTCTGCAGATGGTCAGATGGTCCATTGGAGGGTCATGCTGCATCAGCAGAAAGCAATCAATTACAGAAAGTATAATGTAAGAGGAGAATAAACACCAGACAGATACATGTTTGTCAATATGGCAACTAAAAAGCTTTTCTTAATAATTATAACTGATCTTTTAAGGATTAAGGGTAGAAGTATTACTCATGTTGAACTTGAAGAAGTAATATAGAAAATGAGTGGTAAAGAAAGCAAGGCTCATCTAGAAGATCACATCAATCGGATGCTGTTATGAATAAGTGATGGGAGTAATGATTATTAAAATATTTGAACTGGTTTAAACCTGTTGAAAGGAAGGATATATAGAAAGCACTCATATACTTTTTTCTTTGCCCACTTAACCTCCATAGTATATTTAATTATTATCCCCACCTTCAGCTTAATATTTTTGTGTACATTTATGACTGTATGCTGCAATAGGTCATTAGTATTAGCATTAGTAGGCATTTTACGATCACAAAAACTAACATTCATAAAAAGGTTTGGTCACATCTTGAACCGGAGCATCTGTTGATTAATAACATATGTGATATGTTGTGATCCACTAAAGGTAGGCACAATATGAAATGAATAAATCCTTGTGTTTGTTATCTCTGCCGCCATCTTAATTGTAATGGAGCCGGGACACACCTGGCAGGGATCTGCACTCTATTGAGTGCACCCCTCTAGTTTAATCTTATTTTACTTTACCCAGACCTTACCCTCCACTCTTTCCACACTGTGTCTAGTTTAAAAAATAAAAAAAACATGGTGGCCTCGAAGTGCAAAACACAACAACAAATAGGAAAACAAAATATGTAACAAAACACATTGTTGTTGTTTCTGATGGTCAGTCGGCTTTAGCAGCTGTGGAGACTTTTGATGCAGTTCATGCCTGCACACATACTGTCCTAATACTGCAGCAGATTGGACTGATCTGACATATCACATCACTGGAGTTTCATACCGGAGTGAAGACAGATAACATCATGTGTCATATGGGGTTCAAGCCCCAAAGGGGTTGTTGTCTTGTGCTTTGTTATTTGTTGTTGTGTTTTGTTGGGCCACCATAAAAACATCTGATAAATACATTTCAAAAACATCATCTAACTCAAGGACAATTTTAAGAGCTGTACTCAATTGAAACCATTGCCTTAAACAACATATAATTGGTCAGAGAACATTGTGAGTGGAGAGGCCTGCATGCTGCCACTGTCACTATATTTAGTTTGACAATGAATAGATAAATAGGCTACTTCATTGCATTTCTCATTAGAGCGAAATATTGTTTTATACTACCCTCAAATGATTAATAGATTGATATTTAAAGACTCAGAAAAACATAGTTTTTCAATGTGCTTCTTACTATACTGTACTATATGGCGTCGTACAGGAGCAACATTTTCTGTTCAGCAGTTTTGGTTATTTGGTTTTTCTTTGAACTCTTCTTACTGGTTTCAAGTGGGACGGGCTCTGTTAGAAAAAACTTCTGGTTTGGTCACTGTTTGGTCAGTTTTTACATTTTTGGCAAATTGACGCCATTAGTCATATGTCAAATTAGCTATTAGCAGTTCTTGTTTCCTGCACCCATGGACATACAGACATCACTGAATTAATTTGATACTAGCAAAGTAACAATACACTTAACTCATGAGCTGATACAAAAAAATCTATATAATATATTTTCTCCTATATTTTCTTTACCTAATCATATAATCTTTTTATTTCTAAGGTATTTCTGATTTTAAATCTTCACATATTTGTATCACGATTTAACTGTCTCACAATATATCTTTACATTCCTGATTCTCAGGCAAGTTCGGCAGTGATAAGAAGCATCGTTTTCTATGACTTCCATGAGGATTTATGGAAGTTTATTTGCAATGGAATGGAAATGATGGAAATCTTTTTCTTAAATCTGGAGAACAAGATTTATAGACCAGGGCACGTCTGCAGCACTACAGTACTTCATTACAATGCTGTTTTGTCACATTTGTCTTTGTCAAAACATTACAGCTCTTGCGAAGGGAAACAGATTGGCATGTCAGAAAGCAAAAACTTAGTTCTGGGTTTATCCAAACATTTTTTATTTATTCTTAATACTGACCACTTCTTCCTGTGAACCTGCTCAGTATGCTGCCAAGTGAAAGAAAATGCAATTAAATGAGTGGTGAAAATTTGGAGCATGACGGACGCAAGGGTTTAATGAAATGTGAAATGTTGGTGAAGACCCATCAACACTCTCCGGCAGCCATGTCATCCCTGATGCATCAACTCTCACTCACATGCTAAGCGCCTTCCTGTTGCTGCAGCATGGAATTAACATTATTGATTTCCAATAATACACAGAGAAGCTTGGTCAACCGAATAAACGTTGAACACAGTAAATGTGAGGATATATATTTGAAATATTTGAAATGGTCATTCTGAATAGGGAAAACACTTTGGGAACCAGCCGCTCCTCCCACTTTGCACCTTTATGGCGTTTCCCTCCACTTTGCTCTTCTTCTCTGCTGTGCTAGCTATGGCAGGCAGTGGTGGGTGCAGTCTGTTGGAAATATTGAGAAATTGTGGAAATATTGTATTTAAACTTTGGTTTTACCAAAGGGCAAAACATTTTACCATTCCAAGCATACAGCAGAGACCACAAAAATACCATTAAATATCAAATATGTCGCTGATAACAAGCAATACAGTACATTTTCCCTCCAAGGTTTGTGTTGACAATTCTATGTGACCAAATCACAAGTAGAGTATCCTAGTCGCAAATAATGTTAGTTAATAGTTAGCTGCCCTAGTATTACAAATACTTTGTCATCCATAACCTTGGGCCCTGACTAAATATCTATAATGGAAATTCACATGCCTTTATTGAGAGAGCTGATTACTGCTATTAGACGTGAGCTTGGTTAGCCACTGACATTGTCACTGATGTTGGTCATTGTCAGTCTGACAATGACCAACAACTACAAAAATACACTATGCTTAGAGTTAGATGAGAAGAGAACAGTACCAAATTTGTTCATATGTTTGAAAAAATGGTGTTGACATTACAGATAGCTTTTGCACTTGTACATCTATGACAAGTTTGCAGGTTGTACTTAGCATAATGCAAAATGACTTACATTATTGCAATATATCAACAATGTTTGGCAGTCAAATTTTACCAGTGGCAGAAGAAGTACTCAGATTATTTACTCAAGTCAAAGTAGCAATATCACAGTGTAGAATATAAGTAAAACTCTTGCATTGAAGACATTACTCAAGTAAAAGTATAAGCTTTAGAATGTACTGGAAGTAGCAAACGTTAAAAGTATGCATTATGCAGAATTTCAGAATAATGCATCCTATATTATATTGTTGGATCATAATCTACATATATATTTGATCGATTAATGCACATGGGATTTTAATGTCGGAGCTGGTAAATGTGGGGTTAATTTCAATTTCCTTATATACTGCTGTGTTGCTTTATCTATAATTATATTATCATATCCTATTTGTTGATAATATTTGGTATTATTATACAACAATTCAATCTGTAAAGTATAGTGTGTCTAACGTTATTGCCTTTAATTGATAGTGACAGCTGAAGAGTGACAGGAAAGATGGGGAGAGAGAGAGGAGATGAAACGCAGCAAAGGGCCGCAGGTCGGATTCGAACGCACGGCCGCTGCAGCAAGGACTCAGCCTTGGTACACCGGGCGCCCTAACCACTGAATGTTAATCTTACAGCTCAAAAAAGACGCATCATGGTCACTAATTCCATCTAAGACTCTAGGAACGATTGGAATTAAACAGTATTACACAAAGCTCGAAGACAAACTCACCAGAATTATGTTTTTACTAATCATTCTTCTCCTTCCTTCTTTCCTGCTCTCACAAGGTCATTCATTTATAACAATAGACAGGTCTTAAATGATGCAGGTCGATAAGGAGTCCCTGCCCACTTTGAGTGAGAAAAAATTAAGTGGCCAGAGATGACAAGAGGAAGAACTGAAACACGCGCAGGTTGAACGTGCTCACACATCACACTCACCAGTGATTAATACAATATTGTTTTGTTTATTAGGTTCAGATTTGTTTTCTGTTAAGAGGGGTGATCCAAATATTATTTTTCTCTCAGGTTTTAAACGGATGCTTACTGTGATATTTCTATGAAATCATCCTGATATATAGATATTGTAAGCGCACACAAACATTGTAGACCTGTAAATTTAAGTTTTCCACAGAAACATTTTGATGATCATTTCCTCCAGACTGAGACAGTGATTTACACCTAAATAGGCAAAAGTCATCTTAATGTCATTTGACAATAAAAGTTTGAAATCATTAATTGACAGCAATTATTTGACGACTGGTTGATTCTGTGGGCCTAGCAATGTACTGCCTTTATCGTTGTACACGTGTCAGCAGCTTTAAACAGAAGCTCACAGCTCCGGCGTGCCTAATATTCCCCTGATCAATACACGGTTAAATATTTGCTTTCCATTATACTGTAAAACATCAATTTGGCGTGTACCTGTTTCTATAACGACAAAAACAACATTAGAATTGTATCATGTGGCTGCCATATAAACCATTTTTAAATCATTAATTACAGCAAACAACAAAAACCGTAGCCTACCTGTCAGCAGAGAGGGCTGTGAGAGTGAACACAGACACCCCAACCGAGGTGAGCTGAATGAAGGGGATGACTTTACATCCCACTCTCCCGAACAGCCACTCCTCTGACAGGTAGCGGCTGGCATCCACCGGAGCGCAGGTCACCAGCAGTAAAACATCCCCTAGCGCAAGACTTGACATGAAGAGATTCGGCACATTGCGGATGGATTTGGCAGAGCAAAAAGTCTTGATGAGCGTGATGTTGCCGATTAGCCCCAAGACGCTGATTACACCGTAAACAGAAGCAATGGCCACGCCGGTGAACCACATCGTCCCTGTCGAGCTTTGGAGAGCAGTGACGCTGCGCGACGCGTTTTGGTACAGATGCTCCATCTCTCCCACCGTAAAATGTTCTTTTTTTCAAGTTCAAACTCAGAGAAGATGCAGACAGGTCCTGTGGGGTTTCAGAGAGAAGGCAAAACTATTGTGGTGACAATTTCAACTTTAGAGTTGTGTGTGCACGTCCTCCTCAGTGTTTGAGAGTGGGGGTCCGCTATAGCTGCTGCCACCCAGTGCGCTGAGCGGTACACAACATGCACCAATAAAGAACAATCAATATGTGTGTCAATGGGATAGAACTGAAGAGAGAAAACAGTAAACTCTTTAGAAGTATGATAGAGAATGCTCAATTTGAGAATTATTATTAATGCTTAAAAGGGTCTACAGCATTTGGTAAAAAAAACTTCTTACTTTTCTTTTTTTCTGTTTTTCCTCTAATGTTGGATCAAAATGAAAACATGCTTTTAGCCTTTATAACTGACTAATAACTGTCAGGACTGATTGCAGTCCTGCATTTACTTTTATTATCTATCCATCCATCCATCCATCCATCCTACCATCCAAGGGAGTAGGGTACTGTTCACTTTTAGCATCATATCACTAGTCCAATTATTTTGTGACAAGTGGCACTAAAAGCTGCTGCAGCTTTTCAGAAGGCACTGTACTGAACCTAGTTAAAACTTCTGACAACACTGCAGTGATTTTTTAAATCTTTCTTAGATACTTACAATAGACAGCTGGAATTAAATAACGGCAGAATGATGGGGAATGACAATCATCAAAGGCCCCCAAATGGATATTACAATTACACGGTCAGTGTCTTAAATCCCTATAGACGACCCGGATGTGGTTTTCGCTTCACCTGCATGCAGGATCAAGAACTGGATCATAGCAGTACAATGATAAATCTTCAGTGTATGAGTTCAGTGTATCTAAAACCATAAATGTTCCCATTGGTGACAGAGATAATGTCACAAAGAGTGGTACACCTGCTAAGAGTATTGAAATTTTGCTTCAGCATTTGACAAACAATTAACATACAATTAACATGGGATGTAAATATAGAGATGGTCCTTAAGCATGGGAGTACACCCTATTGAAACTTAAGTGCAGTGCAGTTATTTTTTGTCATTTTAGCAATTTGCTAGTGAGTCTTTTGACCTTTTACATGAGGGATTCACAGCACATCGCTAATTAGAGAAACAGAATAAGAAATTACAGTCTGTCTAAAGATTGCTGGAGCAAAACAAGAACTCTTTTTTCTTTATTTTCTTCTATACAAAGGAAATCAATGAGCATACTGAGTCTATCAATTCAGGGCGTTATGCTTTTTAAACGTATTATTCCAAGTCTTTAATTTACTCTGCTATTGATCGGTATAGCTTCTTTAATACTTTTATTATTATATTTTATTATTATTCAGGGTAGCTGGAAACCCATATAACCTCTTAACTATTGTATTTTGTTTTTTTCCCCTTTATGTGTGTGTCTGTGTTATTGTAAGCTATCATTAGAAATTACCCTGATGGGGATACATATGTTTTAAATTGAAAATAACTGAATTACTATTACAGTGTTACTGCAAAGTGAAAAAACCTGCCAGTGGCAGGATTTCTTTCTTTGTATGACTGGCTATAACCTTATAGAACTACAAGCATAGCTTAACTCAGTAGGTGGTTTAAAATATTTCAGACAGTTTAAAATTTCAACTTCTGTTTAATGAGTTTTTCTTCCAACCTGTAACTGTGATTGAGGGACAGAGATACATTTTTGCACATGAACAGAACGAGGGTTATTATCTGCAGGACCTCTGCACTCTGTATGTTACTCCTATGGCCTTAATTATTTAATAATATAATAAGAATAAGAAAAGAAAATGCCAAAAGAAATGCAATACAGTGTAAAGCTGTGATTTTTTTGCATTTTTATTTATAGACAAAAAAGAACCCCATACACTCACACACATGTGTAGGGAAGTCTATAACCTTAGACTATTAGACCTGAGCTTGGTTATCCACTGACAATGACCAACAACCACAAAAATAGACTGCACTTCTAAACTTCTCTATGCCAAGTTTGCAGTTTGTAATGCAAATTGATTTACCTTATTGCACAGGTACAGTTGATATGAAATGTACTCCACTTCTCATCCAATGTGTGTTGAAATACACTGCAGGGTCCTGCAACCCTGAACAGGAGGGATTTAGAAAATAAAATGATAAAATGGATGATCTGTTATAACCAAAATGAATTTTTGGGAAAAGAGTACACATGCCAAACCAAGCTTTGTAAGGCTGTACTGATGTACATTGGTGCTTTCAGCTAATGCTAACATGCTCATAATGACAATGCTAGCACATGTTTGCCATATTCACCATCTTCACCATCTTAGTTTATTATCTAAGCATGGTCACTTATGCATTTGAATCACTAAATACAAAGCACAACTGAGGACCCCTTTGTTCACAAACCAGAGTATTGGACACATCATGATTTTCAATTCCATACTAAATTTCATGACAATCCAATCCAGTAAGATAGAGATTTCACTCTACACTCTAAAACTACAAATTTCAACCTCATGGTGATGCTAAAAGAAAGTCAAGGGTCAAAGTCATTAAGCTTTATCCTCTGAAAGCCAAAACTTTTGTGCCAGTCTGTTCAGTGTTCACTCATGTTAAGATATTTCATTGTCTTTATCCTTTTTCTATTTATCCAGGACTGGGTTGTGGTGGCAGCAGGCTACACAGGTGGTTGAACAGATACAGATAATGATGTGCTTGCTCATCCCCAGTAGACCAATACATTGAAAGTTTTTCCTTCGAGTTTAGCTCCCTCTTCAGCATAATGCTTTGATGTTAACAATTGCTTGTCACTGCTGACGCTGTACTAACCTGCCTGTCGATCTCACACTTGATTTTAGCCTCGGGGCAGCAACTCACTCCCAACCAATCAAATCCACCAAACCACCACCATGTTCCACTGGATAAGAGAAAACTTAGACCCATTAGTGGCGCCATAAGAAAAGTCCAGTAAGTCCTCAGGGGACTGTAAATATCTGTACCTTTCATGGCAATCCATCTAGTAGTTATTGAAATATTTCTGTCAGAGCCAACATGTTGGACTGACCAATTTCCACTGCCATCCATAGAGTCACACAGCTATCATTGCTGTAAATTAAGTTAAGTATATTAAAATCATTAAATTTCCTAAAGGTTTTGGGCGACTGCAGGTTTAACCATTACAACTTTAATCATTAATATTATTAGTATAGATTGTGCTCTTACATCTTTTGTAGGATTTAGTGACATCTAGCTGTGAAGTAGTAGATTGCAACGAACTGAAAACCGCTCGCATCTGTATTTAAAGACCTGGGAATAAGATCGAGCTCTAAGTGTGTAGGAGAAACTCTCCTCTCTCATGAAAGGCCCTATCAAGACCCAATGTTTGGTTTACTGTAGAAACATGGCGATTCAACATGGTGGAAGACGACACGCAGCAACGATTCCTATGTTCAGGTGATTATCCACTAATGTAAACATACCTATGAATATATTCCATTTCATTTCTGCCAATAGATCATCCTAAATGTTACACACTGGACCTTTAAAACTACATGCTGAGAGTCTGAGGTCAGTTCAGATCCAGGCATTTGAAACTGAATATAGTCCAAAAAAGGTTGAGATGCATTAACCAGAGAGTGAGTCATGTTATGCTCCTGTGAGGGCTATGAGATGTAGTATTTTCACAGACTGACTGGTTGAATTTACCTGATCTCCCGGTAGCTCCACATCCTGCAATAACCCAGGGGGCTTCTGTATAAAGTAATGTCTCTATGGACCCTCGACTGCCTCAGGATAATGGAACTTCACAGGTACCACAGATGGCCTTACAGTCCATCAGCAGGTGCTCAAGTAGAGAGATGATCTATGAAAGACCCCTTACAGGTGATGCACTGAAATGCATCGTCAACACAGACATTGTAGACACAGGAACATGAACAACAATGACCAGTAATCCAGCAGGGTGTAATATGCCACAGAGAAAGAACATCTCTAATCCCTTTTTCTCAGTGGCTTGTCAAGAGCTGCCAGGCAATGTTGCTTGGTTTGTATTGATGGCCCAGCCTCATCATGTGGAGGCAAGATAAGACCTCCAGGAACACAAGAGATAATAAAGTGTTAAGTGGAGGAGAAGGAGGGGATGAGAGAGAGAGAAAAAGAAACCTGGGGGTAAGAAGGTGGCCTGGATAAAGTACAAACTGTACTTTCATTCACATACATACACATATACAATAGGTATATCACCTGTGCATGGGTGGAAAAAGCACACATGTATGCAAGCAAACAATCGTCTTTTGATTCCTTTAAAACCTTATGGCTTAAAGGCTTCTGGCTTTGTGAAAATACAATAAATTAAATTAATTATTCAGACAAGGAAAAGGTTACTCTTGAAGCCCAAAATGTCACGGAAATATCAAGCAAAAGAGGTTATGATGCTCTCACTATGATCAGACTCATGCTGCCTAATTTTACAGCGGAAATACACAGTTCAATTATCTTTTGTTGCGATCTCCTGCCTGTAATGTGGTACTGTATGCCACAAAATGCCACAGTGAAGCTCTTGCACAGAATTGAGGCAGCAGGCTTCAACAGGTCACAGGAAACCTTCTAACTGACAAATGAAAAGCTGATAGGTTAAAATAAAACCTTTAGGATTGACTATATTAAGGCAGAGTGTGTCACGACTGAACTATGGACCAGAACCCAAATGCACAACTCACAGACAAAAGTTTTAACAAAATAAAGGTTTTATTAAACTAAACAAAAATCTGTTTGCGAGGAAATACTAAGGCTACCGAAAACAAGACAGAAAATTCTCTAACAAACAAAGTGACAAAACAGACCTGACAAGGCAGTTGGCATGGATAAAGCACTGGCTCTCTTGACACATGAGACAAGGACGAGACTGGACGAGGACAAAAGGGAGGACACGGAATATATAGTACACACAAGGAAGGCACAGGTGGAAACAATCAGGCGGAGACAGTAATCCCAAGAGCGGGAAAAACAGACGAAAAGGGGAGAAAGTAAAACTTGGTGACAAGAGACAGGACAGGGAAGTGGAACCAAAATAAAACAGGAATCACAAGACAACATAGACACGAGACAAAACTGAGATGAATTAACTTAACAAAAGGTTTTCTGGACATGACAGAGTGTTCTTCATTTCTGCTTCACAGTCGCCAGTGAGACACTTAGAGTTACAAAAGAGGCTTATTTGAAACCTACACATAATGCAATATCATGCTCATTTGAAATGTTAAATTTCATTAATATTCTGCCAATTTTACAAACCACAAATTCTTATTTTTGTTTTGTACTCATTTTGCATAACTGAAAGGAAATGCTTTAATGTGCTATAGGATGAGAGTGGTTGTGTTGTGTATATAGACAAACTTTCAAGAAGCCAAACCACAAACTTTTTACATCCTTGGGCAGACAATCATGAACACAGTATCAGCAATACCACCCAATGGTCTTACACGCTTTAATTGGATTACAATAATGATGATCATAATTATTATTAATTAAGCTTTTCAAATAAGATAATAAATCAATGTGTAGTTGTAGATAGCATACATTACTTAATGTTGTCAACAAGTCAGGGAAGAACATGATATAAGTCTTTTAAAATGTTTTTTACTTTGTCTAGTGCTGCACAATTGAGACAATTTTCTTTTGAAAGTGGTTGCCAGTGGTTACAGCAGATCAATTTGGGAGACAAAGGTACAAATGAAACGAGTGGCACAAAATGCCACAAAGCTATAGATTATTATTGACAATTTCCATTGAAACAGAAATTAGATACCACAAGAAACAAGCAACAAATGGGATGTGGTTGGTATCTCAGTGTATGTTTTAATTATTATCATTCTTCTACTAATGTGGTTATGAGGTGGTCTTGATGTAAATGTTACCAATCTAAATTCTAAATATTCTAATAATCTAATAATCTTGATCACAGATCAACCATTATCCCAAGTTAGATAGGACAAATATCAAGCAGTATCTTACTGTATGCATATTACAGACCAACATGAGAGCCTATTGATCTAACTCTCTGCCAGAAAGCAAATAAATGTAATTTACCAAAATGTCTAAGTACTCATTTAACAACTCACTTAAATGGCTAGAATCTGATATTTTTATGCCACATTCTACCCATGAAAAGTTTAGGGTTAGGGTTTTTAATTTTAGTTTAATGTATGTAATGTATGTTTGTATTGTTTGTATGCTCTGGATACTTTAATTTCCCTCGGATAAATAAAGTATCTTCATCTATCGTATCTATTTTTCTATTCCCGATATCGTATGCTATCTTATCGTATCTATCTGATCTATCTATCTATCTATCCATCTATCTGAACGTGGGCATGTTTTCCTGTTTAAAAGTATTTCTTTTTCCACACCAGAAAAACACTCAACTTGGGGCGCATTCAGTCGTAGGCTTATTCCATTTATGTGCACCAGGATGTATACCTACTACACAGCAACACAACTCAAGGATGAGCCAAACACAAAAGATAGTGTGTTTATGTCACTAATGGTTACATTTGTGTGCATGTTTTTACTTGGGTTTAATAATTTGAGATTTGTGTTTTTTTTTTTTTAAATATTAACTTTTTATATGAGTAATCTGGGGTTCAAAATAATGCAATAGCCATGGCACTCGACAGATGGCAGTGAGAGATAAAGGATTTGTAACATAACTACCCGGGTTTTAATGGTAAACTACAACCTGTCGTCTCCTTGTTTCATCATTTATTTCATACAGAATGCATTTGATATGTCTGTTTATAGGTGCTGCAGCTCAGAACATGTAAAGTAACTTATAAGCAAATGCTTGATCCGACATTAGAGGGTGATATGCTTGAATTCCTGAAACATTTGCCGTTTCCTTATTTCTATCTCTTTCATTTCCCGTTGTTGTGTGTGTGTGTGTGTGTGTGTGTGTGTGTGTGTGCCTTTAGGTGATAAACCTTCTCAAACCGGTCTAACAGGACCTTCTCATGTTCCAACAGCACACATACACATCAGTTTTTCTCTGCACCACCCACACTGTGAAGAAGTTTGGTTTTGTCAACACCCTCTGTCTGTTTCTCTCTTGCAACATAAAGCCGAGTGTTAAAGGATAACAAATAAACACAATGATACTAATTTCTGTTCATATTATAGGTTATTGACACCATATAATATAGTTCAAGATTGTCATGTTTGATTGCAACGTCTTTGGTTAGGTTTGTGCAACAAATAAGGGAAAAATCTATTAAATGTATCAACCTGTTGGCCAAACGAACCAGGGAAATGGAATTCAGTCTCACCTGAGTTAATGAGGACAAGCCGAAACACGCCAGTGAGTAGATCAAGAATGTTACCTAAAATGCAGGGGCTGCAGTTATTGGCAGAGAGAGCTGTCAGTTATCCAGAGGCGGTCGGGCGCACCCATTGGGCTCATCTCTCAAAGGACACCGTCGCGGGTTTCGATGCAAATCTGTACCGGGGCGACTCCTGAACTCTGTTTCATTTTATATAGGCTAGAAAAAACCCACAGAGAAGAACCAGTGACGGTACATTTTTGACAATTTAAGTCTTGGCCATGGAGGGGAGGATTTCTACCTTGACTCTGCTGTGTCTGAGTGAGTATTTCCTTAACATTTGCTTATTTTCCTATGCGCCTTACCAAGCTGCCACACCTGTTTGCGCACCTTCGGGCCTCAGTAGCAACTGTTTATGCGTGTGACTTTTCCCATTTGTTTGCTGTTAAATTGCCATTTTTAAAACAAAAAACATAAAAATATATACAGACAAAACTACAATTTAAAAATTGTGGAAATTTATTTGAAATAAACACCATCAAATTTTAATATGCTTTTGACTCGACCTGTTCTCTTTCACAGAGACACAACTTCATAAAATGATTTTATTTTTTAAAAATGTTAGATTAGACTTCTTTCAAACTTAAGAGTGATAACAAATCAAGCTCAACTTGGGTTAGAACTAACTTTTCGAATCAAAATTTTCCCTATCCATTAATCTGTTTGTAATCTAATCTAATCAGTTATTTTTTTAGCTTTTGGTCTGGGCCTATGAAGTTCCCAGAGCCCATGGTGAAGTCTTAAAATGTCTTGCTTTGTCCGAGAAACAATAGGTTACAAATATTCACATCTGAGAAGCTGGACATTTTTTGGAAGTAGTTTTTGCTTGAAAAAACAAAAGCAATTAATGGACTATCAAAATTGTTGATTTCTTCTGTCCATTGACTCATTGTTTTAGTTTCACACTGAACAGATTTGAAACAATTTGTATTCCCTGTGTGTGGGGTGGGAGGGTGGGGTAATATGTTATTTGTACAGATCTCAGGTACAACAATGCCGGTCAAATTAAAATAAAATTATAACTTTGTCAATTAAACCACAGTTTTAAAAATGATAGGCAATCCAATCCAAATGGTTATAATCATTATTTTCTGTTTTTATCTATGACAGTGCTGTCAGGTGTTGGTGCCGTCACTGTGGACATCCCAAAGGATCTTTATGAGTATGCCAGGGGTGACAACATCACACTGCCCTGCACCTTTAAACCCAAACCCGGCTTCACCCCAGCCCAAGTCATCATCTCATGGTCTGCTCAAGAGGTCAGACCACTACACTGTGTTCATGTGTTTGTATACTGTATGTACATTTGCATGAGGGCATTATTCTTTATTAACTGTGTATGATAATAAGCATAAATCATGAATAATGTACAGAGAACTTTCCTTTCTTCCTCTTTTAATGTTCCTCTGATGCTGTCGTTGTCTAACAGACCCTGATCCTCACTCATTATTATCCTGAGGCTGAAACTGACATCACATCGGATTATGAAGGTCGGGTGTCCCTGGATGTAGACGTTAAAAAGGGAAAGGCAAACCTCAATCTGTCTTCCATCTCACTGGCAGACAACGTAAATTTTGAATGTCGTCTCCAGATCCGAAGTGATGATGAGGGCAAGCCGGCTGACTATACACGTTTGGTTGTTCTAGGTAACTATAATTTCATTCGTTTTCAAAGTATTACACTGTTAACTGTGGAAAGGTTGTGGAAAAGAGATAATTTTTGCATGTTGTTTGTGGCTTTCTATTCAGTATATCAGGTATTATACTCTAAGTATCTGAAATGTTAAACCTCAGTCAGTATCATGTTTTACATTCATATGATTTAATATGTAAGCAGTTCAACAACGAAGTGCAAAAAAACATGACACATAGAAGTAGATCATCAAAATGAAACTTTCTCTAACCACTTTGCCAACGTTGCTGCTTACTGTGTTACCAAATGCCAATTTCCTTCCTTTTTTTATTTTCTAGTGGCTCCATCTAAGCCCATCTGTAAAATCCAGGGTAAGGCAGAGTACGGCCAGAACATCAACCTGACATGTTTGTCTGAGGAAGGCTCCCCGACACCCACTTATAAGTGGGAAAGTCGAGATGTCAGTAACGTGCCTCGCATTCCAGACCCCAGAACCACTGACAGTAAGTATGAGTAACCCAGTTTCTGACAAGACTATCGATCCTGGAAAAATATAAGTCAACTGTCAGCATTTTGAGGGCCAGTGTGTAACATTTAGGATGATCTATTGGCAGAAATAATGTGTATAAATGTGTTTTCATAACTTAATATAGAAATCATTTTGTTTTGTTGTTAAAATTAGGGAGTTGCAATCTGCAACTACACCGCTAGATGCCACTAAATCCTACACACTGGATTTTTAAAGATTTACTTGCCTCTGCAAAATGAGAACCTCAGTCATGATGAGGGTGAGAATCATGTCCCTCTCTGCTCCACTTGGTGTACAAGTTGGAAGCTTGTGTCTGTTTTGTCTGTGTGAAAGTACTATTTCACCCCTCTGTATCATAAGACCTTTATGTTAGGGATGGCTCAATACCAGTTTTTCATGTTTGATACCGATTCCGCAACCTTGAATATCTGCCATTACCGATACAATCGGATACCATCTTCATTTCTCCTCTCGTAAACATCTAAGCTGATAATAATACATTTGTATGGATTCACTTTGCTTAACTTAACCATCAAAACATTGTGCTCAAACTGTGAAACAAATGGAAAAAGAAGAAGAAAAAAGAAATATATAGCTCAAAGTTTAGTTAAGTCTTCATGTAATAGTTTAGGCTAGTGGATCGTATCAAATCATTTTTTCTCTCCGACATCCAATCCCGTAATTCTGGCCAGTATCGGACCAATACCGAAGCTGAGTATGGTACACCCTTACTTCTACATTAAAATCTACAATAAAACGTTACTGTGTCTCTGTCTGTCAGAGGGAGGCATCCTGTCTCTATACAATATCTCCAAAGAGACATCAGGATACTACATCTGTACCTCAAGCAACAAGATCCGCACCGCTACCTGCAACATCACCCTTGCTGTCATGCCACGTGAGAGAAACCTTCCTAACGTCTTTTAATTAACAATCTGGGAACTTAGTATTCCCAATACAACAACACATTATAATATGCATCCTTTTCTTCTTCTTCTTCTTATCCCACCTTGTCTTTCTTCTTGCAGCTTCCATGAACATTGGCTCCACTGCGGGAATCATTGGTGGAGTTGTCTTTTTGATCATACTCTTACTCATCATCTGCATCTGTTGCTACTGCTGCCGGAAAAAGAAGAAAGAGGAGGAATACGCCATGGGGTAATGTTTTTCCCCCATAAAAACTACCATTTGGTACCATTCACATTTGAATAGATACCAGTACCAATACCTGGAATTCAGGACCAAAATATGTCTCACTATACCCCTTGCATACTGTATGCATAAATAGTATGTTATTTACAATTACGTTCATGATTTTACATAGGAATACTAACCTAATAAAACCCTATTACTGGGAATCATGAGTTTCAGAGCGTCAAACACACAGAGCGTCCCCGTGACTGACTCACTCCTACCTGCACACGGTGTGAGACAAGAGGGCCAGACACTGACTCTGGTCTGTCTGTGGGCTGTTATCGGTTATGTCCTTTTAACTGTGTGAGACAATGGAAAAGTGACAGGAGAGGCTGTGCACACTTTCAATTGCGTGAGTCTCGTGAGTTGACAACCCTGTGGCTAACACCAGTAAAACTGTAAGTTACTTCCAGCAACAACTTATCCAGCTAAGCAATTAATTACTTGAAGATGACGATGAAGTTGTTGATGCCTGACTTAAAGTTTTGCCGTACATTGAGGCTTCAACTTTGGCGCTGCCTGCAGGCGTGCTAAAGTTAACTGCTGCTTTCAGGCTATATAACACAATAATGCTACACTCTTCAGCTATTAGATACATTTTGTGTTTGACTAGGTGTTTCCTCAGGTTAGACGTGTTACCCTGGCCAGCTCTGCGTTTTGCATTACATAGACTCGAATGTCCTGACTCACTGTGACTTAAACAAGCTGCAACTTGACATGAGTCTCTCTCTCTCTCTCTCTTTCTCTCTATACTCTACTCTCTCACCCAAATGTGCTGTCAGGTAGCGAAATGTGACACCAATTTATTTAACGTGAATTAGTAGTGGGTCACCTAAAAAGTATCAAATTCGGTACCCAACCCTAATAAACACACACACAAACACACTGACGCTAACTGATGATATGAACAGAGGTCACCTGAGGCTGAATGAGTAGGTGGTCGGTCATACAAAAGAAAAGTCAAAAAGAAAGTCAAAAATAATCTTAACGGCTGTCTGTGTGTGAGATCCAGTTTTACATCCTGTTCATGAAACTAAATTAATAACCAGGACAGAAATCATCATTACCACTGACATATTGGACACATCTCCGTTTGATCAGATTACTTCTTTTCTGATTGCTTGATACAGCCTGTATATCGTATGTTATTGAGCCAAGCCCAAGATGTTTTTTTGAATCGCAGTATCAAAGACACAAAAGCTTGCTTTCTTCACAAAAACAACATGAGCAACATGATATTGACAGGACTGCATGCATTGATGAGTACAGAATGTTCACAAACCAACTACAACAACTCAGCTGAGGTGGTTTCAAGGCAACTTTGGAAGTTTTGTTCGAGGTGAACGCTGCCAAATAAAAACCCTTCTCACACAAACATCTGACTGTTTTCTGTTCCCTTTCCAGAGTTCGTGAGGAAGAGTACAGTGACAAAGAGCCAGCAAGAAATGGTGAGAGTCGCCACGCCGATGGGCAAGAGGATACACGAGGTTATGAAGACTCCAGGGCGAGGAGCCCTGTTAGGCAGAGTGACCACTACGAAGAACGAAGCGAGCGCGACTACGACGATCGGCGCAGCGACTACGATGACCGCCGCAGCGACTACTCCGACCGCCGTGACAAGTACAGTGACCGCCATGAGCGCTACGACGGGGAGCGCCACTACGACGACGATCGACGCTATGATGACCGCAAAGACCGTGGTTATGATGATGAGCGCTATGATGATCGTGAACGTGACAGACCACCCGTGCCAGCCAATAAGCCACCAAGGAGGGACTACGACAACTAAGGCCTTCAACAAATATTAACCACCATCTTCCATATTCTTTTTTTTAACCTCCAGTGACTTTAGTGTCTAATTTCTGCCTCCATGGATCTTGTTGTGACACAATTGTAACACCACAACCATACTAGAATTTAGAGGAAGTACAATCTCTCATTGTCTGTTTTTTTTAGAGGTGGAACCACGTTAACAGTTGAATTGATTGAGAGGATTAATTGAGGAAGGGCAGGGAACCCAAAATGGCATCTACAAAGTCTGTCTGATCCATTTTAAACAGGGAGTGGGTTGGTGGGTGGGGTCAACAGTTACAAACTCTCTGGCTCAGGTATGAACAATGCCCAGGGCACAAACTGTACTTTAGTTGTGTACCAAAATTCACGTCAAACAAATGATGGGAACTGGACAAACATTTTTTTTTTCTACCGAGATAAAATAGTTTTTTAGTTATCTGTGTAATCCAGAAATCAGTTGGCATTTTAACTTTAAACTCAATATGTTGGCATTCTTACATACGAATACAAAGCCTTATGTCTGTCTGTGTGTCTGTCTTGGATTCTTCAGGTGTTAACTGGTGGTAGTTTGTTTTTTAGGAAGCTGCCTCCACACTGAGAAGGGCTTCAGTTTTTTTGTAATTCTTTGTTTTATCGTGTATATACTTTTTTTCTCCCTTTGAGTTAGGTACTGCATCCTTGTATACATAGCCATTGAATCATGTCCTTTTTATTTAGTGGTTTCATTTTTCTTTTCACCGTAATATTACAGAAACCAGTACTACAACTTCTTCTGATTGTTGAGTTAGATAATGTCTCCACAAGAACTCTCAGGGTTTCTTTTTTTACATCTAAAATTCAAATTAATTGTAACTTTTAAAATGCAAACTAGATTATCAAATTTTTCCCTGCCATGTTGTTTCTGTTGAAACGAAACTACGGAAATATTGTACATATGCTATTATTGTATCGCAGCAATGGTAAGGTTATATAATAAGGTTTTATACTGGGATTTATCAAAATTTTCTGTTATTGTGAAACATTTTGAAATATACTGTAAAAAAGCTGATGAAATAAAAATTAACCAAACAGCTTCTTGCAACTGTATGAATCCTGGACACTAGATGGCAACACTACAAACAACTCAATTTTCACATGATCACATGATAATGTGCAGTAAAAATAAAAAATATTATTATTTTATTAGTGGTAGTAGTAGAATTATTAATTGTGGCTAAGATTTGGTGGATTCATTCACGTCTAAAACTTATATTTATTTTTGTTAATCGTTAAAAATGTTTCGGGCTTCACCCTCCCGCTTCCCTTCATCATCACCATCCATTGTTTTTGGACTATGTGTAAAGTTACACAACCAAACAACTAGTGCCGGATATGGAGTCATTGGGGCTTCAAAATAAAATGATAATGATAAAAAAGATTTGCACGTAATTGTTTTCAGTGATAGCAAAAGCAATCTGTTGACATTTTGTTATACTTATTCAGATTGATCAGTGTAAAGTAAATAAATATAAACAATATATGGGATGATTTACAAAGTAAGACAGGAGAGCAATAAAAGCACCTATCCTCTCAGTATGTTGAATATTTTAACTTTTATTTTATTCCAATATTGTATGGGGTTTGGTGCTTGGTGTTAACAGAATAAACTACATGTATCTATGTATCTCTGAATGTAATATGTCTTAAGAACAACGAGTACTTGCAGCAGTCAGATGAATTCAGTGTGGACTCAAAATTAACTTAACCTAGTTACACATTCAGACTGTGAAAAACTTTTATTATTTCAAGATTTGGTAAAACACACAAGCCATCAGTACAGGAGCAAAGAAAGGACTTCAATAAATAAACAGTGAATTTCTTTTTTACTATACTGGCAAGTTAAATAAATTTGTAACTGAATAAAAATGACTGCTATGTGAAAAGTATACTACAAATTACTAAAAAAAAAAAAACTGAATACAGTTTGTTACATTCTGCCTCTCTTTACAACACATACACTCACATACAACCCTACTTCTATTCTTCTTTTTTTCATTATATCTTGTATTTTTCTATTTTCATTTTGTTATTTAATGTGTATTTCTGCTGTGTTCTATCTGGAGCTGCTGTAACAAGTGAATTTCCCCAGTGTGGGATCAATAAAGTCTATCTTATCTTAACACTGTCTGCATCAACAAACTTTGATTTTGAAAACCGCTGCCGGACGTTGTGAGTTTTATTTTGACACGCTTGACGACGGTCCCGCTGCTGCAGCGCCGCTGTCCCGTTATCTCAACTCTCTGAACGAGCTGGAAACATCGTCCCGGGATGAGACGAAAGAGAAAAGAAGACGACGTTCATCAGGAAAGTTTGATGAAAGTCACCTGCGGGATTTGGAAAATGTTTTTAATGTCGAAGTGGTGGATTTTTATCGTTTGCCTGACAGGTAAGTGAAGATGAACAAGGGGGGGAAAAAAGATGGAATCTATTCTGTGTGAAGTGGTGTAACAGGTTGTTGAACTCTGATTTACATTTGGACTAACCTTTAACTAACGTCGCTATAACTAACTATAACTAACCTGCACTGAGTCTTTGCAGGCGAATTAGCTAAGCCATTGGATTCAAAACCTTTCCCACATATTAACAATGATGTTTTATAAGTCGAGTGGTTGTTTCTTCGCAGTGCTGCAGTCGACTGTTATTTGACCATGTGTGAATGATCCGAGCAGAAGCCTTGGGGGTAGTGGATTAGGAGGACTAACTCCTCACCTCACCTAGTTTGTAGGACAAAATAACCTAAAATTATGAAACACAGTGGATTTAAGTGAAGCAGCAACAACACATCAAATGAATAACTGCATTAAATGAATAATACCCCAGACCATAACGTTAGATGGTGTGCAAAACCAATAGTGGAGCTCCCTGATATTGTAGATTATAGTTATAGAAACGATTTGTCAAATAATCAGCTACTTGATCAAGAATTAATGAATCTGTAACTACTCTGATAATCAATTAAGTAATGTTTTGTGCAAAAATTGTACTCCAGGTTCTCAGATGTGAATATGTGGTATTCTGGTTGTCAGTACGATATTCAATAATACTAATTTGTCAGTTGGACAAAAGAAACTTTTAAGACATCACTATGGACTCTTGGATGGGTATATAAAGTAGCATTTATATAATGACTCTAATAAACTTGAATGAAAATGTGCATGAAAGGGCATATAACATGTCTATTTCAGTGAAAAGCAGAAGACAGTGTGGTGAGAAATCATTGAAACAGCAGGCTTACATATTATTATCTGTAAAAAGGTTTAGGAAATTCATTCCTCCACGTGAAATCAGGCAATTCGAGAAACCAGAACATTTATGATACACTCAGATCTCACAACACTCTCAGCAAGGCTCCTCTCTCCAGTGTTACAACAGTAACCATCCTTTCCCTCCTCCTCTTTCTCCCGCTTTCATTTTCTCCTCTGGAGGCGGCTTTCCTGAAAACTAATAAAGCCTGGATCGCCTGCAGTCTGTGATCCCAGGAAGACCAACCTCCTGGCTCTTTTTGTTTCAGTTCTTAGAAGTCGTAGAGCAACGCTCTCCCAGAGGAATTTATGTTTTAGTCAGATGGATTTCCTCCCCAAATCCACACGACTCCAGCCAAACCTTTACTTTTAAAACCAAGTTGGCTTCAGATGACGCCACAGAAGCTTTTAAATACATACCTTCAGAATACCATTGTTCGCTGGAAAGAAAAATAAAAGCAGAGAACTATCATGCAAGATGTGAATGGTAGTATCCACAGGCTTTTTTCAGAATTATGTTAATGTATTTCAATAGTAGGCAACAGCTGGTCTGAAAATGTAAATTCATGTAAAATAATACTAAAAGAAATTTAGTGTAAACTGACTTTACAGTACAAAATCAGCTGCCAACTTGAAGAGCAGATTTGTGGTCTGTCTGATTTGCTTCAACATTTTTCCACCCTTAAAACTGCATTCATGGTAGTGATGGACAAATTACCTGGCATTTTGAGATAATTGGCAACGGCAAGTGCCTGCACTCAAAAGGCTGATAAACAGAACATTTCTGCAGGTATTCTTGTCAATGTGGCTGCTGTAGGACGATGTTAGTGCTCCGCCTTGTGAGTTTTGAGAAAGAGGTGAAAAGGTTACCAATACTGGCTAGCATTAAAAATATATTACGTTATAATAGTGTAGAATAATGCAGTTAAATGACGTAGCTTCTGACATAAATACCATTAATATCCTCAAATCTACAGCATAACCCAATTCTTTTTCCAATTTCATTAATTAATGAAAAAAACAACGGCCATTGAAAAAACGATATAATTTAACCACTAATTCATGGTGTTTAGTTTTAATGACATGGATTTGGTATTTTACTGTAAATGACATTATTTGTATGGGAGTGATATGTAGGGTTTTGTGAACATTTTTCAGTTTTGGTCTTACAGTTTTGGGTTTATTGCTACCACAGCAGCAAGTCTTCTTAGAATCAGCTAATATTTAACATTTTAAGTCAATTGATGACTTAAATGATCAAAGTTGTTTAAAAAAATGGTTAACTAACAACTAATCGATCAACTGACTAATCCTTTGAGCACTAGTTAATAAGGATGTTTTAATAGTCTCTCAGTGTGCTGCTTGATGTATCTTTTGGGTACTTTTTATTAAATCAGTTCTGGGACACCAGCTGAGGCTGTTTAGTTAGCTTCACTCTTAGTAACAGAAAGAAAACAAAACTCTTTCAACAGGCCTGGTCTGGATTAAGTGAAGCTGGCCCCCTCTCTTCCCTCACCTCATCTCTGTTCACTGGTCCAGTTCAGTCCCACCTCCCACTGCTTAGCTTGAGAAACACACACACACACAACAACAGCATACACAGATGTTTCTGGGTGTATGTGGGGGTGTGTTTTTCTCACATGGTCACCTCTCTGGTGTGTGTTGCTGTTGAACTGCAGAGCTCAAGCTCCTGGTCATCATGTGACCCAGAGTCCTGCGGCTTCAGAAGCTCCAAAACAAAGTCAGGTCAACTCAGCTCACAGTCAGATTTCACCGCGCAGAAGCAGCTCAAACAGTCTCAACAGCAGCTCTCTGTTTGTACACGTATCTTGCCAAACTGCAACATTAAATACATTCCAGCTAGGGGTGGGCAATCTGAACATTTTGCATTCAGATCGCAGTATTTAATGTCTTCTAACTTCTGTTTCCAAACTTCACGCAACCTCATTCACTAGCAGATCAAACGGATGTAGAGTAGAGTGGTGTAGCCAACTAGATGGTTATGCTGATTGGACAAATTACTTCAATTACTACAGCTCTTCCTTGGGGGACGTATTGGAAATAATGCAATTGAGTTTTAAGTACGTGAAAAGTGTTATTTTATGATTAGGCCTATGTTATCTTTTGGCTTCTGTTAACTTCAAACTTCAAATTAAACTCAGGTTTTAATCATCATTTTAAAACCAGTGTAGTATCTTTCGTTCAATATTATGTTTTAATGGTGCAAACTGAGAAATTCATAGGCTATTTCAAGTCTCCAAACAAAACAAAAAAAAACATTGCAAGCTAAAACAGGGATTGTGGTGTCAATTAAATAGAATGTGAATATGCAAGTATTTCTATTTAGTGCTCATCCTAACATATTTCTACTTTTGGGAAAGGGAGGTGATGTTACTCAGTTTCATGAAAGATATCTGACCAATGTGATTGGTCAGATATCTTTAAAGTGAGCTAACAGGAACAGGTGTCTCCTTAAACCTCGATTCAGCATCTGAATCACTGTGTGTTGCTGTCTGCTGTAGTAATCCTTAAATCTCCCTCATTACACATTCCCAGTTATTACTTGTTTTGGCTGCCATATCTGTGGTGTGTTTGCCTAAGCCAGAGGTTTACAGACTGACTGTGGGCCACCTGAACTGTGTGTTCATATTCGACTGAGTTATGACTCTGAGAAGAAGAAGGCTCAGATTTTTTGCAGGTTTTAAAATGTCATGCAGTGACCCTTTCTTCTTTCACACTTTATTGATCCTCCTTCATTATCTCCTATCCTCCCACAGATGTCCTCCCTCCCCGTTGCTCAGCGGTTAATGTGTTTGTGAGAGATGAGAGGAGGTATGCTGTGCTATTCCAGTCAGTAATCCTGCCATGTCAGTACAACAGCGTGTCCACCCAGATCCCCGTGGTGCAATGGGTCTACAAGTCGTACTGCCGCGACCGAACACGGGACTCGTTCAGCTTCCCCGACAGCCTGAGTGGAGGCTTGGGAGGAGGGGGGCTGACGGGTGGAACCGGAGGAGCCAGTGGAGGGTACGACACAGGGATGACAGCGAGCTACCTCGACTGTGCTGACAGCAGCCGGACGGTCCGAACTGTGGCCTCCATCTCTGGTTCCTCAATCACGCTGTCAGAGTACTACAAGAACAGAGACATCTCCATCATCAACAGTAAGACTTCAGCAGTACTAACTGCGCCTGCGGTTCCGTTTCTCTGATGTCCATGTTGAAAATCATCTCAACACAGTTAGTAGCTCATTTCGGTTGGATGTAGTCTAGACGTCTAATAGCCTTTCACTTTATGAGTAAATGCAGTCGGGTTTTGATGTCTCTCCGCCTCCAGATCACCAAATGAATGCTTACTGAATGCATTGTACCATTATTTCTGGGTATTCATTTTCTGTTTAATAACTCAGCACAAGTAGAACCAAGTACAAAATGTGGGGTGACCACCATCTACATACAACAGTTGGATGTCACTTCTCCACTTCATCCCACTGTACAGAAATTAAGCCAAAATATCGCCACCATCTTTCGCCACTCAGAGCCAGAGACTGCGCAGGGGTTGGTGCCATGGTATCAAAGTCACAAAGGCTCTTTGGAAACCTATGGGTGATGTCACAGACACTACGTCCATTTTCGACTGTGCAACAGCTCGTTCCAAACTTGCCTTAGAGCGGGAGACTCTAAGGAGGGCAGCGATTAACTTGTTCACATCTCACGATGTGGGGGAGTCTGTGGCGTCCGATCTAAGGGAGCTGTATTGACTCCAGAACATTCGATATTCGAATGACATTAAAAAAAAAAAAGGAAATGACTCCTAGAGCAATACTATGAAAACCAAATCAAAAGCTTTTTTTCAGTTTTGGTTTAAAAGATTCAAACTTTTGGGCTTCTAGTTTCATTGGTGCATAAAAGAAAAAGCTGCTTCTGTGGTACTTTTGTAATATATTGATCCAAACGAATGTTCTTATTAGTTCTGCTGCTGCTTCAGTTTGATGAACGCCATAAATGGGCGCCTTGCCTTCCTAAAAATCAGTCTCTTCAGCCTGCTTTAATCTATGAGATGGGTGCTCCCTCACATGTCCATAGCATAGATATAATATTAATATATATGTGTTAATTAGTCTTCTATTGAGTTAAAGTAATGAAAGTAACTAAAATCAAATCTCTCATGCCAATAACGGCTGTGGTATAACAAAATATTTCAACAGTTTACAACCGATTAACTGTAGGAATTCATGCTTGTGTCACCCTCACTTTCTCCAGGACTACATTTCCTCACTGTGTTACCATCATGTCATACCCTCAAGGATCATCTAAGGGACACTACTGTGCATATGGTTGCATGTGTGTGTGTGTGCTTGTTGAAGACATGAGAGATTGCCTTGTTTTGCAGCCCTCAGATTTATGGAGCTCTAACTCTGGTTGAAGAATCGACCTTGTCTTCCCCAGCCAGGAACACAGACAAAAGAAATGGTTTTCACACTGTCCTCTCATTCATCCTGACCTCTCACTCCTTCCCTCTGATGTACTTCAATGTCCCACTTTTATTTTTTGACTCTCTAGATCGCTCCACATCCCACCAGCCGCACACTCATTTCTCTCAGTTTGAGGCTTTTCTTTTACTTTTTTCTTTTCTCTTTTTTTTGTCCCACTCCACCTCCTGTCCTGAAACAAGTCAGTGCAGAGATGTTGTAAATGGACAAAAAAGTGAAAGCTTTAACTATGTTGCCTTTGGAGACGCCCAGTCATCCATACGCATGTAATCCTATTCAGGGTCACAGGGGAGGCTGGAGTCTGTCCCAGCATGCACAGGGTAGAGGCTGTTCTGTTAATCACATGGGTAACATAGACATACACAAACCAACACACTCAGTACTCATGGTCCTTTAAAAGTTCAAAAGAAAACCAGGACGTGTATGTATAAAAATAATCTAAACAGTGTTAGAATAAAAATGGTATGCTGAATGAGTGGAAGTGTGACTTTGAAAGAGAGATTTGCCACAGTGGTGCGATCAGCCTGTCTCTCTTCCCCCTTCCTTGGCTAACAGGAAAAGGAAGTGAATTATACAACCCATTTCCTGTCCACTGTATTTACGTGTCTGACCCCCTCACAATGGAGTCAGTGGCCAGGTCCAGTATTGTCTTGTGTGTTGTATTCTTTGGCTAAACTATATTTAAATTGTTTTTACAGCTTTTCAGTCTTTTTTGGATTTTGTTGGAATTGCATCCATAATTAGACAAATATGAAAAACAAAACTATTTTAGCCTCCTAAAAATATCAATGTCTAAACCTAAACCAGATAGAAATGCTTCCATTACCCGTGGGAAAGGGCTTTTTGACGGCAATGTAAAGCAGTGACAATGTTAGGAACAATTTTGAGTGGCAGGTTAATTAATATTCACAGCCTGTAGCAGAAAATGCGATAAGATCTAACTTAATTCATTCTAAAAAAAAAAAAAATTGTAGTATGTAATTGTAGATAAGATGATATGAATTTTTTTTGTGCAAATTTTAACCCTTTCCTTTTTTTCTCCCGCAGAGGCAGACCTGCGCATAGGAGAAGTCCAGTGGGGAGATAGTGGAGTTTACATCTGTAAAGTGGTTATAGCTGATGATTTAGAGGGACAGAACGAAGCCTCCGTGGAGCTGCTGGTTCTTGGTAAGCTACCGATACTTTCCCAACATGCCATTGACATCCATTTAAGCTTGAACGACCCACAAATTCAACAATGTGTTTCCAGTTCTTGTGCGGCTGTGACAATTTCATTATTGTTGAACTTTGACCTCTCATGACTCTCATGTCCCGTTTTAATGCTAAGTGCAAGACTGACAGCAAGACTGACCAATCCTTCATATGTAATTATCATAGACACAAAAACACACATTGCTTACTGTAAATTGAATTATTTTGATTAAGAGCTGCTGTTACGTAACCAAGCAAGGCCTTCATGAGCTGACCTTTTCACCACCGACAGATACACACAATACAGGCTCATTAATGAGCTGATTAACAAGCAGTGGAACCTCCTGGGCTGTCTTGCCTAATATGTAACCATAGCAACTGCATTCACTCATACTGTACGGTACTATATAGACCAAGGTTTTGAAAACTTAGTTACTGCAGAATAGTTATCTCTAATATGAGTCATTGCCACTTGTGTCAAGCCTGTGTGTGTGTGTGTGTGTACGTGGATTCTGTGTGTCTCATGTTGTAAAAGTATCTGTGTTGTTTCTTTACAGTGTCAGTGTACTTGTCTGTGTTCAGTTACAAATGTTACCATAGCAATAGCTGAGCGGCTATGTGGCTCTTGGTGCTCTAATTCACTCTGAGGGTGAACTTTTGTTTGGCTGGCACTCAGAGACTTATGTGTATGCACATAAGACACACACCCACACACAAATACACACACAAGTACTGGACAATGAGCTTTTACAGTTTGCATAGACTTGAGTGCATTCTGAATCAGGTTAAAGCCTTGGTATGAATACATGTTATAGGTGATGACAGGATAAGATAATGCTACAGGCAAATGAAGATGACAAGATTTCCTGAATGATTTGTCCTTTTCAGTCTTAATCCCAGCATGTGAGCCACTCAGTCTACCATAGTGCCAACATGTTGTATTTCCTGTCCTGGTCTTGGTGTAGCTAAGATGGCATGTGAGGCACTTGTTGTGTTTCCATAACAACAGTTGGGGCCACCGCAAATGGCTTGGGGAGTCTTTTGTCTTTTGCGCAAATGGCTTCACCACAGAGAAGACAGGGATGATTTAATGACACGGAGGAGGAACAGCAGAGCACAGTGTACAAAAGATGGAGGGTGACACCATGTTAGACACTCGACTGATGTGGTCTCAGTCGAGTGCTGCTTCCGTCTGTTCTTCCTTTTGAGTTCAATTGCTGTTTTCATACCTCACAACCTAGTTAGTAATGATATAAAATTTTGAAAAAACATTAAAATGTGCATGAGGCAAGTCATTTTCCATCACAGAGAATATTGGCTATTTGAAACAAGACGGTGGAAACACTACCGCTTTTGTCCACAGGGGCCCACAAGGATCAAAACAAAATGAAAGTTCCTTTTAGGCTTAAGTACATTAAGTAATGAACAAAACACACGAACAGTGTAATCCATGAATAGATAGATAGATCAGTGGCTCTTTTAGGGGATCCATCTATCTATGTTAGATAAGCCCTCTCAGTAGAGCTCTACTAGCATGTAGGGCAGGCTCACCTTCCCTTTACAGTTCATCTTTATAGGAGGAACCTGGGTAACCATACAGGGAAAAACAAGCAAACCCCAAATATTTGAAAGTAAATATCGGTGAATCACCAGCATGCAGGAAAATTCATGAGCGAGTGGGAACTCCACAAGTGCTTGAGCAGGAGGGACACAGAAGACAAAACAACAGTGCTTTAAATGTACAAATGCACATAATGCAAATTCCGGCACCCAGTTGTTTGAATTCATGTGGTGATTCAGCTGCTTTTCAATAAACCTTCTGTTTTCTAATCCAGCAAAGAACACGTTGAGCCTTCCAGAAAGATACTAAGTAAGCTATGAGCTTTGTCAGCCAAAATCAGGCCAAGATAGTCCGGCCTGCTCTCTGTTTCTTCGGTCCTTCTTTCTCATGCTCGGCACTCCTCTCCTCCTCTCAGCAATAATCACACTGTCAACAGTCAAAGACCAGTATCTGCTCACATCACACTCACCTCCTGGTTTTTTTTAACTTTTCAAAGCTTCACCTTATATCCTTACATTCTCACATGGACATGTGCATCCAAACAAAGCACTCATGCACAAATTTGTACCAGCTTAAGACACGCTGCCCTTTATCTGTCATGTTATGTTATATTTCATTCAGACGTCTGCTGACCTTGTGTGGAGTCCCTTAAAGCTGTGGTAAAAGAAAAACAAAAGGTGTAAGACAACACTAGCAAGCTACCAGGAGAAACAATTGACAGGTGGTGATGGTTTTTAAGGGGTTGGGAATTTTTTTCCCCTCAAATATAATGACTCTCCTTCCGTTGTAAATTACCAAATCTAAGCCTTTCTTAAAATAAATTCAGTGTACACATAACAATACAAATACAACCAATACATCTGCCAAAATTCTAAAAGAAATGAGTGTTAACATTAGACAACAAAGTAACTAATCAGTCATTGCCACGCTGTCAAAGCCTCATAGGAGCTGTAGTTAAAGCAATAGTTTCACACATTGGGAAATGTGCTGGAGTCTTGTCTTCAACATGAGGTTGCCGGGAAGTTGCTGTTCCCAGCCAAGAAATCGGCCCACCCCATACCTTCATAAAAAACTAAATTGTTGTTTTTAATGTGTGTTAAAATGATGTGGTGTTCAAATGTAAGCATTCCTGTAGTAAGTATCTGTCATTCAAGAGGCTAACAAGTCGGTGGCGCGCGACTTCTCCTGAATTGATAAGTGCGATAATTTGTCAAATTGGAGAGAGATTATTATAAAAAGAAGTAATGGGCTCATGATGCTCCAAGACTCATTTATGAGCCAATACTCTGTTCACTGGCCCGACAGCAGAGAGACAAAGACAAAGAAGTAGTTTCAGGAATGTTTCTCTGCAGTCTGTTTGCAAGCTCTGCCGCATGAGGAATGTTCCCACCTGTGATTTTTGCAGGCCTGCATGTAACATTACTCACAGCTCCTGCCTATTTGTCATGGTATCTTCATGAGAATGATTCATGTTCCAGTCTGTCTTCTTACCAGACAGAAAACCTTACTGCCTTTTATATCAGAAATCAAATGATCAATCTGCTTATCAGTTGTTCTGATATGGAGACTTTCTGGAACAAGACCAGAATGTTCTCTGGTGCATGCTGCTGTTGAACTCTCTTTATCTATGTATCTGTCTTTTTTTCTCTGTATCCCTCTTTGTTTTGTCTTCTTCTCTCTCCGTGCATGCTGCTGCAGCAATAACTTTGAATCAGTCATTCAAATTTATATCAACCCCATTTCCTCTCCTCTCCGCTCCTCTCCTCTGCTCTGCTCTGTCTCTCTAGGTTTCTCAGGTGTGCCTGAAGATCTCCTGCCAGAGTTTGATTTGAAGATTATGCCAGGTAGGGGCATAATGTATTCTCCCCCTCACCTGGTTCCTTGCATTTAAATTAACCCTACTAACTGCTCTAACATGGGTGTAGGAACCTGGGATGGATTTTTGTACACAATATAAGAAATTTAGAAGAGGATATTTGAAGACTGGTCTCTCACATTTGTTACATGAGACTTGGTCCGATGAAGAGAGGTGAACAAAATGGTGATCTTCTTTAATGGTTCCTATGCTAACTGCTCTGATACTCTGTAACCTATTCTCCTGTATGCGATTCAGCTATAATGAGGCTTTGACAGAGTTGAATTCAGAGCCATTTTAACCCAACAGACTGATCCACACCCGTCAGATAATGAGCTGACCGTTGCTCCCACTAGGATGAGCTGTGCTGGAAAACAGTCATTATGGTCATTAGGGTTATTTATGGCTGTGGTTAGCGTGTAACCCCACAGCATTTGGACACTACCCAGTAAAAACGCGATGATTAAGCGGGAGGGAGGTTTGTTTGTGTCACATCAAATTCCTGTAAATACGTATTTGATTATCACAGAGTTTGTGGGAAGATAGATGAATGGATGAATTGTGTGCACACAGCCAGAATGGTTACTGCACGCTTATCTCTGGTGTTAGTGTTGCATTAGTACATGTTGTTGTCCACGTCGACTCCCACAGTCCTCTGAAATGTCTAAATGTACTGTGTGTGTGTGTGTGTGTGTGTGTCATAATGATTCCAAATGAGATCACATTACAAGCTAATTTGTTGTCACAGCCAAACAGTCGGTATCTTACAGAGCAGCATTAACTGTCCTTTTCCTTCCTGTAACAAAATCAGGTTTCCTGTGTGTGTTTCTCCTTGGTTTCACATTGTTCAAGATTTCTTTATCTGCCCTCTCCTTCCCTTCCCTTTGTTTTGTCCCTATAGATACATGTAGTTGTATCAGTTGTACTCGCTGTATCACTCACTTCAGCCCAAAAACCATCTTGTTTTAGTTGTAAGTCATATTCTGACTAAGATTTAATTTCCGTTCAGAGAAAAACATAAAAGGCTGAGGATATAAAAGGCTCATTCTAAGGTATCAGAAACACAAGGATTTTTATTCTCAGGTGATTATACACTAATGAAAACATAGTTATGCGTATTATAT